GCGTTATTTAATTGGTTATTTCCCACAAATTGGCTGCAGTTATTTGCTATTGTAAGCTGTATTTCCTATGGCAGCGTTTCTGTCTGTGAAAGCGTTCTGAAAATCTTTCTGCTGTCCACATACAGACACAAATGTTTCCAGGGCGGGAATGAGCGCTGATTTGCAAATTTTTGGTATAATACAATAAATGTATGATAAGCTTGTCTAGACCATAGTCACATAAAACAGACCACCTATGAAGGCACATTTTCCGTGCTGTACTGTACATTTTTGTCTGGGCCAGAGCTTTCCTTTTTTCTTGCTGACTGTAGTAAACCTGCAAAAAACTATTTCCATGTTTTTTACAGTAGGGCAGAGATCCCCAGACTTTGACAATTCAGGAGTCACAGTCCCTTATAACGTGGTGGGGAACCTCCACCCCAAGGAGAGGTGCTCAGCATGCATCCCTGACACCATCGGGGAGCTGGCTCATGCTTTGAGCTGGAATGATGTACTAAGTAGACCTGCAGAAACAGCAAAACTATGTCCTCATGCACACTGGACATTTTCACAGCGGCTGTTTTTGGCTTTTGATGCTTTTTTCTACAGCATGTTATCCTACGTGTCCATGCACACATAGAATGTAAACAACGTTTTTTTTTTTTGGCAGAGACATTTTTTGGCTGGAAAAAAAACCCAGGACTAGTGGATTTCTAGAGGAGTTTTTTAGCTGTAAAAATGCTCTAAGGCTACATTCACACTAGCGTTGTGTGCAGGTGGCAGAGAGGCGTTTGGGAAGCATTTTTACCACTTCCCAAACGCCTCTGCCAATTCTGCACATTACAGCACATGGTGCTGTTCTAACAGGAGCGTTTGCGTCGCGTCGCGGCAAAACGGACGCCTCTGGTCGAGTCAGGAGGCGTTGAAGCCTCCTATTCTCGTCTATGGTGCCGCTCCGCAAACGCCCGGCCGGCGTTTGCGGAGCGGCACCGTAGACGAGAATAGGAGGCTTCAACGCCTCCTGACTCGACCAGAGGCGTCCGTTTTGCCGCGACGCAAACGCTCCTGGGTGCGGTTTGCAACGCGGTTGCGGGGCGTTTGCGGAGCGGTAACACCACTCAAACTGCATTATAGGCGTTTGTGGGGCGTTATTAACGCTCGGCAAACGCCTAGCAACCACCGCTAAAACGCACATGCGGCGTTTGCGGAGCGTTAGCGGAGCATTAAAAAACACTCCGCAAACGCCGGACCAACGCCTGCCAAACGCTATAGCGGCGTTTGGCAAGCGTTGGTAAAAACAGCCAAGTGTGAACGAGCCCTAACGCTGAAAAACATGACAAAACGCGGTAAATCACGGTAAAACACCACAAACCAGCATTTTTGGACTTTTTTTGACCAAAAAAAAAAATTATTTTTGGTAAACAAATGCTACAAAACGCAAACAGGAAAACGCCGCTAAATGCACCAAAATGCCGCTAAACGCTAATGCAAAATCGCTAAAAAAAGCTGAAAAACGTATGTTTTTAACGTGAATTTACACAGCTAACATTACCAGCGTTATCAAAACATCCAGTGTGCGTGGAGCCTAACAGTTTCATGGCCTGTGTAGGCAGGCTTTGGTTCGCTACCGCTTCTTTCCATAGAAAAAGTAGACAAAGCAGGTCAAATGCACCTGCTATGAATTTGCAACTAAGAAGCATCTTAAAACCTTGAACCCGGGTTCACACTGATACGGTGCTGAATTTGCAGCGGTTTCTGTGCGAATTCCGCACCACATCACAATCGCACCCAGGCCCGGACTAGGACAAAAAATAGTTCCGGGCATTTTAGACTGAGAAGCAAATTTCTGGGGGTGGGGTTGGGTGTGCAAGGGCATTCACGGGTGCAGTTGGTGACAAAATATCACGGAGTCGGTCCTCTGCACTGTAATATAAAGGGGGACTGTGATATCAAGGGGACTGCACTGTAAAGGAGCACTGTATTGATTACAGTGCCCCTTTACAGTGCAGTCCCCTTTATATCACAGTGCCCCTTTACATTACAGTGCCCCTAGAGATCTAATCACAGTGCCCCCTATATATTCAAAGAGATGGCCCAATCCAGCAAAAAGACATCCCCATATAGCAAATGCCCAGTGTGCCCTATGGCCATTCTGTCCCTGATCGCACCCCATTCATGCGAACCACTGTGGGTGTGTATGTTAACAACACCCCGAAAGCGGTCCGCAAAACGCGTTGCAATGTGCAGAATCAGATCTCATGGGGGTGTGAATACTCATGTGATACGATTCTAGCGTGGACCAAAAAAAGGGTCCTGCACCTTTCTGGTGCGGATGCGTTGCGATTTGAGTCATACAAAATGTATGGCTGAAATCACACTGCACAGAATTTGCATACGATTTGCACAGGAATGCAGTGCGGTTCCTGTGTGAATCACATGCGTTATGCTGCACCACACAAGTGTGAACCCAGGCTAAATAAATGTAAAAAACCTGTTGCATCTGCCCATCGAAGCCCATGGACACAAGTCCTTAGGGATAACAGCATAAGCCAAGGGTTCCTAACTGGAGCTATCCATACGCCTTGAGGGTAAGTGAATCAAATAGTAGAGATATGGGACTGAATCTTTTAATTTAAAAAAATTTAAATTGGATTCTCAGTATAACTGAACCTAAAATACAAGAGAGAAATCAACTTGATGTGTCAGATGAGTGATATTGGGGGTCCATAGGGGGTTTGAAAACATAAAACAGTTAACCCCTGGTATACGATATGAGCTCTTGTCTCTGCACTGCTGCCTGCAGTCCTCCTGTAGTGTCTCAGCTTCTTCACTTTGTAGGACACATCCTACAAAGCACATCCAGGGGCAGACTGACAACTCATGGGGCCCCAGGGCAATAGGGAATCATGGGGCCCCTGTGTCCTTGCCCAAACTCAAAAAAGCCTATGATAAAGGTACCAGGGGCATCTCATGGGGCCCCCTACTGACCCCGGGCCCTCGGGCAGTGCCAGAGTTTCCAAATGGTCAGTCTGCCCCTGAGCACATACCTTGTTCTATTCTTACAATGCAATGTCCAGTACTTAACCACTTCAATACAGGGCACTTATACCCCTTCCTGCCCAGGCCAATTTTCAGCTTTCAGCATTGTCACACTTTGAATGACAATTGCGTGGTCATGCAACACTGTACCCATATGAAATTTTTATCATTTCTTTCACACAGCTAGAGCTTTCTTTTGGTGGCATTTAATCACCACTGTTTTTTTTATTTTTTGCTAAATAAAACAAAAAACACCTGAAAACTTTTGAAAAGAAATGAAACTCCCAGCTATATCACTAACCTAGTCTCAAAATACCAACCAAATTGTTCTTTGTTCCTCCCAAGCCCTCCTCCTCTCTAGTTGCCTTTTCACTTCCCATGCTCTCCTCCAGGACTTCTCCCAAGCTTCTCCCATCCCCTGAACTACCTACCCCAATCTGTCTGGCTATCTCCTACTCTGTCCACTTTTAGGCAATCCCTGAAAACGTTTTTCTTTAGAGAAGCCTATCCTGCTTCCACCTAAGAACTATACTTTTATTTTCACCATCAGCTCATCCTCCACAGTTATTACCTTTTGTATCACTTGACCTTCCCCTTTTGTAAGCTCTAACGAGCAGGGCCCTCTGATTCCTCCGGCATTGAATTGTATTGTAACCGTACCGTCTGCTCTCATGTTGTAAAGCACTGCACAAACTGTTGGCGCTATATAATTCCTGTATATTAGTAATAATAATAGTAAAAGTAAAGGTTTTCTTTGCTTCTGTTATATTTTATTACTCTAAAAAAATGACACATTTACTCGGTATTCTAGTTTCATAGCAGTTGGTTTCCATCGTGTCCTTAATAACCCATAAACTTATAGGGAAAAACCATTCCAGTAGAGAGGGTTGTCCCAGAAAACACCTATTCCTTCTCCAGACATCTCTCAGTAACCACAGAGGACTCTGGTGTTCCAAAGGAATGCACAGTGGAGGAGAACTCAGCTCTCCATTGCCGAATTTCCTATAGAAGGCAGCTCGTCCAACAACCCCGTCTCTGGGAAGTCATCAGAGCCAAACTGTCAGGCAAGACAAATGCTTCCAAAGGATCCTCATAAATACTTTCTGTGGCTTCTTTCTGTCCTGTAACCATTTTCAGTTATTGCAACCTATCACAGAGAAAAAGAAAAGACTCGGTCTGATAAAACTCTTAGTCCTCATGCACACAGGACGTTTTTACAGCGGCTGTTTTTGGCTTTGACGGTTTTTTCTACAGCCAGTAAACCCCCCAGCATCAAAACCAGTGGTGTCGCGCTCCACTATTATTATTATTATTATTCTACAGGATTTATATAGTGTCAAAAGTTTGCGCAGTGCTTTACAAAATGAAGGTAGACATTACAGTTACAATACAATTTGGTACAAGAGGAAACAGGGGGCCCGGCTTGTTAGAACTTTTATAACGTGAATGAGTCTGATATATTTACGCGGCGTGATATAGCAATCACGCTGGTGCTGCATGCATATCTTTGAAAAATGTGTGATATTGTAGTGTCTTCTAATGGTGTTGCATGTTATCCTATGTGTTCATGCAGCATCTTGGTAGTAAGGGCTTGTTCACACCTCTGTGGTTCAGTAATGCATGTTTGTGTCATTCAGTGCCATTCATTTTAAATGCCACCCCAACCCTCTTTCCCAGCGCACCTGTATTGCCACTCACTAGCATGCGTTGTGTTGCTGAAAATGCTGCATGTGCAGTTTTTGGTCCATTGTTGTGCATTAGTCAGCCTGCAGCACATTCAAATGAATAGGCTGCCTAAATGCAATGCATCTTAATGCACTTCAGCGGATCATGTGAATCTACCCATTGCTGTCACGGAAATGAGTAGGATCTTCTCCCAAGTGACAGGTGTTATGAAAAAAAGGTAGCTGGACATGGACGGCCTGATTGCCTGACACTGACCTGTTTCACACGGGTTTCAGCTTGTTTAAGATTAGAGCAGGGGCGGACTGACCATTTGGAAACTTGGGCACTGCCCAAGGGCCAGGGGTCAGTAGGGGGCCCCATGAGATGCCCCTGATACCTTTTTCATAGGCTTTATTGAGTTTGGGCAAGGACACAGGGGCCCCATGATGCCCTATTGCCCGGGGGCCCCATGAGTTGTCAGTCCGCCCCTGGATCAGAGTGAACAGCAAGCTTTGACAAAGCATTTGCAGATCTTTCAGCAAGCTTTGTTGAAGCTTTTAGTCCTCATGCACAGTGAACGTTTTACAGCAGCTGTTTTTGATTTTTTTTTCTACAGCCAGTAAACCCCCCAGCATGTTATCCTATGTGTCCATGTACATAGACTGTAATCAATTTTTTTTGGCAGGGGTGATTTTTGGCTGAAAAAAAACCCCCAGGACTAGTGGGTTTCTAGAGGAGTTTTTTAGCTGTAAAAACGCTCTAACACTGTAAAACGCGGTAAATCGTGGCAAACCGGCATTTTGGACACTTTTTTGATTAAAAAAAATGGAATTGCGAAAAAACGCAGCAAAACGCCAATGCAAAAAAACTCTGAAAAACACGTTTTTAACATGACTTGACACAGCTGACGTTACCAGCGTTATTAAAACGCCCTGTGTGCATGGAGCCTCATTGCTCACTATTAGCTCTATGCCATTGAATGTGTGTGTGGGAGATCTATAAAGTAGGCTGTGTGGTTGGATCCCTTTAGTTATTTTCATGATTAAAATCTGCTTCAAGTTGCCTAAGAATCCTTGTGTTAATGGCCCGCATAAGGCAAAAGTTTGGAATTATATCTAAAACAAAAACTGTCTGGAATTGCTCACAAGATTTTTTTTTTTTGCACTTTTCAAGCAAATATAATAAAACACTTTCAACTGTATATATAACAGACAATAAGAAACCAAATAAGAAAAGCACATTGTACGGGTTTACATACCATTGAAGCAGTAGACTATAGCGAATATAAAATATCCCAGTTATGAATCTCTTAAAATAATACTTCAGTCTATCCTTACATAGTTACATATAGTTACATAGTTAGTCTGGTTGAAAAAAGACAAAAGTCCATCCAGTTCAAGCATTAAAAAAAAAAAAGTTATAATCCTACACCCACAGTTGATCCAGAGGAAGGCAAAAAAACCAGCAAAGCATGATCCAATTTGCTCCTGCAGGGAAATAAATTCCTTCCTGATCCTCAGAGAGGCAATTGGATATTCCCTGGGTCAACTTTACCTATAAATGTTAGTATCCAGTTACATTCTGTGTATCCAAGATATAATCCAGGACTTTTTTAAAGCAATCCACTGAGCTGGCCAGAACCAACTCTTGAGGGAGTCTATTCCACATTTTCACAGCTCTCACCGTGAAGAAACCTTTCCGTGTTTGAAGATTAAATCTCTTTTCCTCCAGACGTAAGGAGTGCCCCCTTGTCCTCTGTGATGACCTCAGGGTGAATAGCTCTACACCGAGTTCACTATATGAACCACTGATGTATTTATACATGGTGATCATATCCCCCCTTATGGATTATACATGGAGATCATATCCCCCTTATGTATTATACATGGAGATCATATCCCCCCCTTATGTATTATACATGGAGATCATATCCCCCCTTATGTATTATACATGGAGATCATATCCCCCTTATGTATTATACATGGAGATCATATCCCCCCTTATGTATTATACATGGAGTTCACATCCCCCCTTATGTATTATACATGGAGATCATATCCCCCCTTATGTATTATACATGGAGATCATATCCCCCCTTATGTATTATACATGGAGATCATATCCCCCCTTATGTATTATACATGGAGATCATATCCCCCCTTATGTATTGTACATGGTGATCATATCCCCCCTTATGTATTATACATGGAGATCATATCCCCCCTTATGTATTGTACATGGTGATCATATCCCCCCTTATGTATTATACATGGTGATCATATCCCCCCTTATGTATTATACATGGAGATCATATCCCCCTTATGTATTATACATGGTGATCATATCCCCCCTTATGTATTATACATGTTGATCATATCCCCCCTTATGTATTATACATGGAGATCATATCCCCCCTTATGTATTATACATGGAGATCATATCCCCCCTTATGTATTGTACATGGTGATCATATCCCCCCTTATGTATTATACATGGAGATCATATCCCCCCTTATGTATTGTACATGGTGATCATATCCCCCCTTATGTATTATACATGGTGATCATATCCCCCCTTATGTATTATACATGGAGATCATATCCCCCTTATGTATTATACATGGAGATCATATCCCCCCTTATGTATTATACATGTTGATCATATCCCCCCTTATGTATTATACATGGAGATCATATCCCCCCTTATGTATTATACATGGTGATCATATCCCCCTTATGTATTATACATGGAGATCATATCCCCCCTTATGTATTGTACATGGTGATCATATCCCCCCTTATGTATTATACATGGAGATCATATCCCCCCTTATGTATTGTACATGGAGATCATATCCTCCCTTATGTATTATACATGGAGATCATATCCCCCCTTATGTATTATACATGGAGATCAGAGGCACGGCAGGCTGGGCAGCAGGCAGAGGCACGGCAGGCTGGGCGTCAGGCTGGGCAGCAGGCAAGGCAGCGGGCACCGGGCCATCAGGTGGAGCAGCGGGTACCGGGCCATCAGGCGGAGCAGCAGGCACCGGGCCATCAGGCGGAGCAGCGGGCACCGGGCCATCAGGCGGAGCAGCAGGCATGGCAGCGGGCACCGGGCCAACAGGCGGAGCAGCGGGCACCGGGCCATCAGGTGGAGCAGCGGGCAAAGCAGCGGGCACCGGGCTATCAGGCGGAACAGCGGGTACCGGGCCATCAGGTGGAGCAGCGGGTACTAGGCCATCAGGCGGAGCAGCGGGCACCGGGCCATCAGGCGGAGCAGCAGGCAAGGCAGCGGGCACCGGGCCATCAGGCGGCGCAGCGGGTACCGGGCCATCAGGCGGAGCAGTAGGCACCGGGCCATCAGGCGGAGCAGCGGGCACCGAGTCTGGCAGAACCGTGAGCACCGAGTCATCTGGCATGACAGCGGGCACCG